CGAAGCAGATACGGCAGTCAACTTCAAGGACGCTCGCATGGTAGATGGGACGCCGCTTCACATAGGACCAGTCATTCGCAAGTTGCGCGTAGTGCTAGGACCGATCACGGTTAGACGCGATTTCGACTCTGCAACGCTGGACGGTTACGATTTCATCTTCGGGAGAGATTGGCTACGGACGTTTAATACTCCGTTCGATTGGGCTCAGGGACGCTGCAGTGTCAAGGTAGACGGGGAGTTCCGGGAGCTGCCACAGTGGAGCGATGGGGCCACATCCTCCACAGCTATCATTAATGCTGTTCGTGTGCGACAGTTAGTGAAGCGTGCGGCACGGATCTTCGCGGTTTTCCTTGAGGAGGTTGAAGCTGAGGAGGGGAAAGGAGGGAGTGCAGCAGTTAGTGAGAAGGCGACTCTTCCTGCTGAGGTGAGTGCACTGTTAGCAGAGTTCGCAGACGTCTTCCCCGACGAGTTGCCCCCAGGGTTACCTCCCAGCCGAGCAGTAGACCATCGGATAGAGTTAGAGCCGGGGAGCAGGCCAGTAGCGAAGCCGCAGTGGAGGTTGAGTCCAGCAGAGACAGAGGAGATGACGCAGCAGGTTAGGCACTTTCTCGCGCAGAGGTTCAGCCATCTAGATCGCCTTGGGCCGCACCGATCCTTTTCGCGCCTAAGAAAGACGGAGGGTTACGGATGTGCATAGATTACCGCGCACTGAACGCCGCCACCGTCAAGAATAGGTTCCCGGTGCCGAGGGTAGAAGATCTTCTAGATGCAGTGCAGGGCGCTAGAGTCTTCTCCAAGATCGACCTTCGTTCGGGTTACCACCAGATTCGTGTAGTTCCAGAGGACCAGCACAAGACGGCGTTTCGTACGAAGCAGGGGTTGTACGAGTTTAGAGTCCTACCGTTCGGTTTGACCAACGCTCCAGCGACGTTTCAGACGCTCATGAACACAGTCCTCTACGAGTTCCTAGGCTCATTCGTCGTAGTTTACCTAGACGACATCCTAGTGTTCTCTAAGACGAAGGAGGAGCACGTGCAGCACTTGCAGAAGGTCTTCGAGGTCTTGAGGAGGGAGCAGTTGTACGCGAAGCAGTCTAAGTGCGAGTTCTTCCTCCCCGAGGTCGAGTTTCTAGGTCACGTCGTTTCCGCTAGTGGCGTTAGGACCGACCCGAAGAAGATCGCAGCCGTACAGGATTGGGTGGCACCGACCTCAGTCAAGGAGTTGCAGAGCTTCCTCGGTTTCGCGAACTATTACCGTCGCTTCGTTCAGGGTTACGCATCGATCGCTAGTCCACTCACCGACCTACTTCGGAAGGGCGTAGAGTACGTTTGGGGTCCAGCGCAGCAGCAGGCGTTCGAGCAGATGAAGCAGTCGCTCACGTCTTCACCGACACTGTCGTACCCCGATCCCACTCGCCCGTACGTTGTAGTGACCGACGCTTCAGATCAGGCCATAGGTGCAGTCCTTCTTCAGGACCAGGGACGCGGGTTGCAGCCGATCGCGTACGAGTCGCGTAAGCTTAGGGGAGCGGAGCTGAACTATCCGATTCACGACAAGGAGGCGCTCGCGATCATCCATGCGTATAAGGTGTGGAGGTGCTACCTAGAGGGGGCAGATAGTGTTATACGCACGGACCACTGTTCGCTTCGTTTCCTCAAGTCGCAGCCGCAGCTGAGTCGTCGCCAGGCTAGATGGATGGAGTTCATGGAGGGGAGTTTCCACTACAGGATAGAGTACAAGCCAGGCGTTCGCAACCCAGCAGATCCGCTCACTCGCCCTAGTTGTCAGCTCGCTAGTCTCACAGTCACTGCCGGCCATCCACTTCTCACAGCACTCTTCGAGCACGGTTACACAGTAGATCCCGACTTCACACCGCAGCCGCCCGCAGGAGCAGAGGTGCAGGGTAGTGTCTACATACGGAAAGGAACAGCACGGATTTGGGTTCCAACCTACCGTCCTCTTCGACAGCTCCTTCTTTCCGAGGCACACGACGTAGTTAGTGCAGGGCATTTTGGAGCAGACAAGACGGCTAAGACGCTTAGTCGCACGTACTACTGGCCAGGGCTTGCAGCAGACGTAGAGGATTACATTCGCTCGTGCGACACGTGTCAGCGTACGAAGTCCTCTCGCCAGCGCAAGGCAGGACTTTTGCAACCGATTCCACCGCCCGACCGCCCTTGGCAGGTAGTTACCATGGATTTCATCATGGCTTTACCGCGCACAGTTAGGGGTCACGACGCCATCTTCGTTGTAGTCGACAAGTTCTCTCGAGCAGCGCACTTCATCCCCACGCACGGCCAGGTCACAGCAGAGGAAGCCGCGACGCTGTTCGTAGATAACGTAGTCCGACTGCACGGGGTTCCCGATTCCATCATCTCAGACCGCGACCCTCGTTTCACTTCGAAGTTCTGGAAGCAGCTTTTCGCACTGTTTGGGACTCGCTTAGCCATGTCGTCTGCGTACCATCCAGAGACAGACGGACAGACCGAGCGTGTGAACCAGACCCTCGAGCAGATTCTTCGTAGCATCACGATGCATGTCGCAGCCGCATGGGACAAGAAGCTGAGCATGGCAGAGTTCGCATACAACAACACGCACCACTCCGCCACAGGCATGTCACCGTTCTTCGCACTGTACGGTCAGCACCCCAATGTCCCCACTCGTGTCGATCTCACACCCACTGTCCCTCGTGCGGACAATTTCCACCAGCACCTCACCTTCATTCACGATCACTTGAGGAAGCACCTTGAGCTTGCAAATGCACGCATGGCACGCACCACCAACCGCAGTCGTCGTGAGGTGTCGTTCGCAGTCGGTGACCGTGTCCTTCTCGATAGCCGCAACCTCCGACTGCCACAGGACAGCAAGCTTCGTCCACGTTTCATTGGTCCATTCGTCATTGAGCGCGCACTTGGTCCAGTCGCATACCGCCTTCGTCTTCCCGCTCATTTCCGCATTCACCCGTCATTCCACGTGTCTCTTCTTTGTCCATACACCGATCCCAACTCCACCTTCTCGGGCCGTGATCGCACTCCACTGCCGGTAGCTGTTGACACCGACGAGCCCGACTACCAGATCCAGCGCATCCTCAGGCACCGTCGCCGTCTGCAGGGAGGTGTCTCCTTCGTCAACTTCTTGGTTCGTTGGCGTGGTTACGATGCAGCCGACGACAGCTGGGTTCCTTCGTCCTCGCTGTCTCCTGACAACGCTTGCCTCAAAGCGTACCTTCAGTCTGCAGGCGCCGCGGACGTCGCCTCCTTGGGAGGGGGGTAGTGTTACAAGAGGTTTTACTGTTAATTCCGAACAGTACTTTTCCCAACCCATCCAACCTTATCTTCCTAGATTTCCATGTGCCACGTGGCACTCTACTTTTCTACCTTCACAATTCCTAGTCCCACAATCTAATTTCAAACCTTGTTTCTTGTATGCTATATAAACCCCTCTTGTACTTGCCATTATCAACCAATTCTCATTCAACTCTTCTTCAATTACTCAGTTACTCTTTCGCATATTTCGCCAACACTCTCTTTCGCCAAAGTCTTCCGCCGCGTTTATCCTCGACTTAGTCGACCCCGCTAATTCCTTAGCGGACTTAGGCCGTCGGGCCTAACACTCTGAATGTGCTTGATAATATATTCAATGTACACTATGAAATCATAATTTCTTACAAAATAGGGCTGTGTGTACTCTGGTCCTACCTAACACATCAAAACATCCGATATAGTGACAGTTCGCGTGATGGGGTTACCTCACGGTTTACCGAGGCCCATGTTTCTTGCTGTTCGCATATTTTCGCTTCCCTTCTAATCGTCATTTTACCACTGACGAGAGACTCACGCGCACCTCACTGTCGTCAGCCGAATCGCTTCTTTGCTAGTCATAAATCTGTGCGTGCAAGCTTATAGGGCATCGCTCAGCAGCTGCCGTAGTCTCCAAATTAATCGCCTGGAGCTCGTCGGGGCTCGTCGGGCGTCAGAAAATGCGCCAAACCAGCGTTTGTTTTCATACCTCCTAGGAATCCGAACCTAACCTTAGTAACCGAACCAGCACTGTACTCCCGAACTTAGTAGGCCCTATTGTGTTTCCGATGGACGACGGATTAGCGAGCGCGTCGCATGCGATCGCAGCAGAGAACGGCGTGGGATCGCGAGATCGCGACGACGATGGCGACACGGACGATGTGATTGTAACGGTGGACCCTCTCCGCGTGAAGCGCGTGCGACAGATGGACGTCACCGGCAGCGAGGACCACGTGCTGTACGTGCCACGTCACCCTCTCCCCACACACCACGTGCTGTACGTGCCACGTCACCCTCTCCCCACACACCACGTGCTGTACGTGCCACGTCACCCTCTCCCCACACACCACGTGCTGTACGTGCCACGTCACCCTCTCCCCACACACCACGTGCTGTACGTGCCACGTCACCCTCTTCCTTTCTTCCCCCCCGCTTTCCCCTCCTCCCCCCACACGACGTGCTGTACGTGTTGCAATGCGACACTCACTAAGAGTACAGATAGCGTTATTTCGCCCTTCGCGCCGTCGGGTGCCCAAACCTTTATCTCTCCATCCCCTATCTCCAACGACCGCCTTTTTCCTGCACCCCCTCACTCTCCCCCCACTCTCCTCCTCCCCCTTCCCCACATCGTTCCCCACCCTCCCTCCACCCCCCCACCCCTGGTCCTTCCGCCACACCCCCCCCCCCAGCGACCCCCCCGAGGGCGAGCGCATGCTGGCGCTTCTGGCGCAGCTGGACGTTGCGCGCGCGCGCGCAGCACAGAGGAAGGGCGCGCGGGGGGGGAAGGGGGGGCGGAAACGGCGGAACAGGGGGGAGGCGGATGGGGATGGTGACGGGGACCAGAATGAGCGGGATAAGGGGAGGAAAGGGGAGGGAGGGGGAGGGGAGGACTTGAAAGGAGGAGGGGGAAAGGCAGCAGGCGCAGGGGGGGTTGGGGGGAAGGCAGCGGAGGCACATGGGGAATGGGCGTGGCAGGGGGTGATGTCACAGCTGACGTCAGCGCAGGAGGAGCTGAGGGTGATAGTGGATCTCGTGAATGCGGTGGAGAGCGGTGCAGAGGGGCTGGCTGTGAGTGGGGTATCGAAGCCGAAGCAGCATGCAGCAGAGATGAGCGCCGAGCTCACTACCCGGCTGGCAGGCAAACTCACGCTGCTGCAGGTGGGTACAGTGCGGTTCAGTGTGGTGGGTCTTGAGTGAGTGTGGTGAGAGGTGGTGGGGCTTGAGTGAGTGTGGTGAGAGGTGGTGGGGCTTGAGTGAGTGTGGTGAGAGGTGGTGGGGCTTGAGTGAGTGTGGTGAGAGGTGGTGGGGCTTGAGTGAGTGTGGTGAGAGGTGGTGGGGCTTGGCGGGCATGAGGTGTGAGAGTATGCATGCAATAAGAAGGGGTGGGCTCTGGCCTGATGAGCATGTGTCATGTATGAATGTGCTTACGTGTGCATGTGCATGTGTGCATGTGCTCATGTGTACATATGTGCATGTTCGCATGTATGTGTGTGTGCATGTGTGCATGTGTGCACCTCTTTGCTCGTCTCTTCCCCCTCAACCTTCGCCAGTTTCCGCTCCTCTCCTGTCCTCCTTCCTTCTCCCCCTGTACTCCCTCTCTTCTCCTCTCCTCTGTTCCTCTCATCTGTTCTCCTTGTTCGCGCCTTCCCCTCACGACTCTCGTCTTCTTCCCCTTCCTGCCCACTGCCATTGCCCGCTGCCATCGAGTTGACTTTTGAGTCAACTCAAAAGTCAACCCCTTCCTGCCTTGTGCCATCGCCCTCCGCGCTCACCAGGATGTGGGGGGAGGCTTGCTGCACGCAGCAGCGCGCCTCACACAGCAAGTCAGCGACGACGCACCATTCTACACCGCACTCCAGCGGTGAGCACCTCACTGGACCTGCGTGCATGCCCTCCACTTGCCTGCCGTCCGCCGTGCCTCTCCTCCCTTGCCGTGCCTCTCCTCCCACGCCTTGTCTCGCCCCCCTTGCCCTACCTGGCAGCATACAGCACCGGTGGAAGATCAAATCAAGCGCACCCACCCTGCCCTCGCCCCTTTTGAGTCGACTCAAAAGCCACCTTGTCTCTCCCCCTTTTCCTTGTCTCTCCTCCCGTGCCTTGTCCCTACCTGGCAGCATACAGCACCGGTGGAAGGTCAAGCGCACCCACCCTGCCCTCGCCCCTCCGCCCACCCCGCTCTCCGCCTCCTCCTCCTCCTCAACCGCGGCTGGCTTTGCTGCTGACGTCACTGTGCAATCGCTCCTCCTCTCCCTCCCTCACGCGCCCCCTCTACCTGCCAGCATGCCTCTCATACCCGCTACAAGCCTCCCCTTTACCTCGTTAAGACTTGATAGGGACAAGCAGGGAATGCTCCGGGCTGCTCCGCCTGAAGGCCAGCCAATCAGGAGGCTCCACGTCAGCGTATTTGGGAGGGAAGCGGGCAGCGAATATGGGGAGGATGGTGGTGCTGGTCCTGGTGCTGCTGCTGATGCTCGTGGTAGTGGTGAGGGGGTGGTGGGGAAGGGGGAAGAGGAGGAAGGAGAGGGTGGGGGGATGGCAGAGGGGACGGACGGGGAGGAGGGGGAGGAGAAGGAGGAGGAGGGGGGCGAGGGGACGGCAGTGCACAAGGCTCATGAGCTGCTGAGGGCCGCGCAACGCTCGTGGTTTGACTGGCAGGTGAGACGGTTGACTGGCAGGTAAGACGGTTGACTGGAGGGTAAGACGGTTGACTGGCAGGTAAGACGGTTGACTGGCAGGTAACACGGTCGACTGGCAGGTAAGACGGTTGACTGGCAGGTAAGATGGTTGACTGGCAGGTAACACGGTTGACTGGCAGGTAACACGGTTGGCTGGCAGGTAACACGGTTGACTGGCAGGTAACACGGTTGACTGGCAGGTAACACGGTTGACTGGCAGGTAACACGGTTGACTGGCAGGTAACACGGTTGACTGGCAGGTAAGACGGTTGACTGGCAGGTAACACGGTCGACTGGCAGGTAAGACGGTTGACTGGCAGGTAAGATGGTTGACTGGCAGGTAACACGGTTGACTGGCAGGTAACACGGTTGACTGGCAGGTAACACGGTTGACTGGCAGGTAACACGGTTGACTGGCAGGTAACACGGTTGACTGGCAGGTAACACGGTTGACTGGCAGGTAACACGGTTGACTGGCAGGTAACACGGTTGACTGGCAGGTAACACGGTTGACTGGCAGGTAACACGGTTGACTGGCAGGTAACACGGTTGACTGGCAGGTAACACGGTTGACTGGCAGGTAACACGGTTGACTGGCAGGTAACACGGTTGACTGGCAGGTAACACGGTTGACTGGCAGGTAACACGGTTGACTGGCAGGTAACACGGTTGACTGGCAGGTAACACGGTTGACTGGCAGGTAACACGGTTGACTGGCAGGTAACACGGTTGACTGGCAGGTAACACGGTTGACTGGCAGGTAACACGGTTGACTGGCAGGTAACACGGTTGACTGGCAGGTAACACGGTTGACTGGCAGGTAACACGGTTGACTGGCAGGTAACACGGTTGACTGGCAGGTAACACGGTTGACTGGCAGGTAACACGGTTGACTGGCAGGTAACACGGTTGACTGGCAGGTAACACGGTTGACTGGCAGGTAACACGGTTGACTGGCAGGTAACACGGTTGACTGGCAGGTAATACGGTTGACTGGCAGGTAACACGGTTGACTGGCAGGTAACACGGTTGACTGGCAGGTAACACGGTTGACTGGCAGGTAACACGATATCACCTGCTGTCACAGCGGAAGCCACCAACGTTTGTTCCACCCGTGCTTGCTCGCTGCCCCCCTTGCCTGCGCTTCCGTTACCCCCTTGCCTGCTCCCTTCCTCCTTCTCTTCCCCAAACCTCCTTGCGTGCCCTATTGGCTAATTGAGTCGTAGTGCACTCACCTCACGGTCCTCCCTTCACAGTCCCCCCCTCCTACACTGCTCCCCGCTCGCAATCTTCCCTCCTCTGCCAGTTGCCCCACCCCCCCCCCATGTCGGTCATCCCCCCACGGCAGCTGTTCGAGTCCCTTCAGAGCCACCTGGCTGCCGCCTCCACCATCGCTCTCACTCTCGCCTCACTGTCCTCCCCTCCTGCACCACTCCCCCCTTCCTCTCTCCCCTGCTGGTCGCCCCCCCTCGGCAGCTGTTCGAGTCGCTTCAGAGCCACCTGGCAGTGGTCTCCATCCTCGCTCTCCCTGCACACTCACCACACAGTCCTTCCCCCCTTGCCTTCTCCCTCTCTCCCTCCTTCTCTCCCCCCACGGCAGCTGTTCGAGTCGCTTCAAAGCCACCTCGCAGCAGCCTCCACCGTCGCTCTCCCTCTCGCCTCCATCTCCTCCTCGTCGCTCTCCCTCGCCCTCGCCTCCTCCCCTGCCTGCCTCTCTCTGCGCCTCCTCTCCTCCGCCGCTGCCCCTGCCCCTGCCCCTGCCCCTGCCCCTGCCCCTGCCCCTGCCCCTGCCCCTGCCCCTGCCCCTGCCCCTGCCCCTGCCCCTGCTGCCCTCTGGTCCTCCCTCACTCACCGCGCCCACCACCGCTGCCCCCATCAGCAGCAGAATAAGGGAGCACTGCAGCAGGGGCAGGTGCAGGTGCAGGGGCAGGGGCAGAGGCAGGGTGACTTGCAGGAGGGGCAGCAGCAGGAGAAGGGGAAGGGAAAAGGATACGAGCAGAAGGGGAAGCAACTGGAGCGTTGGCAGGATAGGGCAGCGTTTGGGAGGTTTCTGGATGGGGCAGAGTCAGCAGCTGCACGGGTGTATCTGGGGGAGGCTTATCTGTTGCTCCAGCAGCAGGCTCAGGAAAGAGCGAGGAAGCTTCGCTGGCAATTGCTCGACTCGGAAATCGAAGGGGAGGGGGAAGGGGAGGGGGAGGGGGAGGGAGGTGACGCGGGGACTGGGATGCGGTGTGGGGGAGGGGGGGAGAGGGGGGAAGCACGCGTGCGGGCAGCAGGGGGACTGGAGTGGTGGGGGCGGAGTGAGGGGGGGGGAGGGGGGAGTGCGATGGGGGGATCAGCTGGAAGCGGGAGGAAGGCATCGGGATGGGGATGGGCGGGAGGAGGGGGAGTGGGAGGGGGAGGCGGTGGTGCTGCTGCTGGCGGTGCTGGTACTGGTGGTGGTGGCGGCGGTGGTGGGAGTGTGGTGGGGATGGGTGTGGGGGTGGTGGAGCTGCTGTGGGGGGCAGCGGCGCACAGAGCAAAGAAAAGGGCTGTGGAGCGATGCCTCTTCCGCATGGTAGGCTATGTTGCAAAATACGCGTTTCACGTACCAGTCGCGTACGTACTGTACGCTCACGTACGTACGTGATACGGGCGATTTCAGCCCCACGATACGCTCGAAATACGGTCGCCCGGGCATGGTAAAAAAAAGTTTCCGGGCAGGGTAAAAAAGTATGGGGGGGTGAGTCACGCTGCCTATGTTCATTTTGACCTTGTGCAGTTGGTTTTTTCCTCACGTATGAAACTTTTTTTCCCCATGACAAACATGCATAGCAAGTACACACATACTAGCAACTTCTTCCCCTACTCCCCTACTCCCCTACTCCCCTACTCCCCTACTCCCCTACTCCCCTTCTCCCCTACTCCCCTACTCCCCAAACATTCATCTGCTTCTCCTCCTCTACTTCTCTTGCTTCTAAGCTCCTCAACCACTTACACTGCTGCTGCTGCCTTTCTTACTTCACGTACTCATCGGCCAGCACGGCTTCATCCCCCTCCCCCTCCTCCTCCTCCCCCTCTTCCTCCTCCTTGTTGTATCCCTCCGGCAGAGCGGGTTCAGGTATGTTGCCCGGAAGCACCGCCAGTGACTCACCCAACTTGTGGTGCTTGTGGACCACACGCCAGTTGTGGGTCACAAAAACTAGGTCTCGGAGCTTCTCCGAGCCTAGCCTGTTGCGGCGGGCAGTGTGCACCGATTCGAACCATGCCCACCCGCGCTCACACGGCGACGCCGACACCGGCTGTGTCAGGGCACGGCACGCAAGGCTGGCCAGGTGGGGGTGGTCAGTCCCGTGCCATCCCCACCACGCCACCATCGACTGCTTGCCTGCCTTCACGGCCTCCCTGTCGGCAATTGCCTCAGGAAGGCCGAAGGAACCTTCAAGGGTGAGGAAGGCCGTGAGCCCCTCCTACAAAACAAGAGAGGCACGCCTCTCCTCACCATCCTTGTTGGTGAACGTCTTACCGTCGTAGTGACGTGCGATGAAGGCCTTGAAGATGCGGGTACATTCCATGTCGTTGCGGAAAATACCCTCTTCCTGAGTTGCCGGGTTGAGGATCCGCCCCACGACGTGAAGAGCGCACGCAAGGCTCTCGTCCCAACTGCGCCTAACAATCTTCCCAATGTCAATCGCCACCGCCCGCGGCAGAATCGTCTCCCCCGCTTCCAGCTTGTCGTTCACGTCCTCGGTCAGCTGGAGCATTAGGTCGTAGATAGTCCCCATCATCCCTTTGGCGCTGCTGTCCGTGGCCCGCATCACCTTGAATGGAATCGCCAACAGCTCCGCCAGGTACGAAGCGTTCTTCCACCAGGCATCGTCCATGACTTGGCCGCGGAATGTATCCGCCGTCTGCTTCCTAGCCCCCGCCGACCAGTTGGCGAACTCCTCGCTCAGCACCATCTGCGACAGCGTGGACCGCAGCTCGACGAGCCTGGAGAGGGCGATGTAGTTGGTGCCGAACCTGCTCCCCGCCGGCTTCACAAGCTGCTTCCCCTTTCCTCCCTTCACCTTCTTACTCCTCAGGTAGTTGCGGGTGAAATGGTGGTTGCGGACGTAGGTGATCATGTCCCCGCACAGGTCCACAATGTCCTTGCACCACGTGATCTTGCCCACGTCCTCCATCAGGAGGTTGAGCACGTGCGTAGCGCACGGCACGTACTCGATGTGGGGCCAATCCGCCATCAGCTCCTTGCAGGCGGCACCGTAGTTGGAGCCGCCGTCCATGCAAAGTGCGACCACGTTTTCGGGCCCCACTTTCTCGATGATGGGGCGGAGGAGCGACGCGATGTAGCCACCGGTTTTGGACTCCATGTTGCAGTCGATAGCCTCCACGAACACCGCTCCCGAATCGTTGACCAGCATGACGTTCGCCTGCGGCCTCCCGCACCGATCGGTCATCAAGTCGGAGGAGACGGTGACGCCATCCCTCTTCCAGCTCGCGGCGATTGGCTGAAGCCCCTTCTCGATGCTCGTGCGGCATTGCTTCAGCCTAGCTCCTCCCACGTAGTTCCGTCGCGGCGCAAGGTAACCGTGGGGTGTGTTGTTAATGGCTCTGACCATGTTGCGCCACAAGGGGTTGTCGGCGTGGTGTTCGGGAATGCGACAGCCGGCGAAGAACAAACTGACGGCGTAGTCCGCCTCGCCCTTCTTGCACTGCGCCTCGTCGCCAATGAAGTCGATGATGCGTCCTCTCTTAGCACCTCCCACGACAGCATTGAGCGCAGCATCCTCGGCCCGCCGTTTTTCGTCGCGGTTGGACGCCTTCTTCTCGTAATGCGCGGCCACCGCCGCTCGCACGTCGGGCGGAACCTTAGCGCACAGGCGGACGTCGCGAGAGCGCTGTCCCTTCCATTTCGCGAGATGCTGAGCGCATCGAAACGCACCACCCTTGAACTCCTTGGAGCAATAGTTGCAAACGCGGACAGTCCCGACTGTGTCGGGACGGATGGGAACCTTGAAATGCTTGAAGACGACATGCGTACTATCCTCCTCCAGCCATTGCGCCTCCGAAGTCGAGGCAGAAGGATCACTAGGCTGAGTAGACGGACCAGAAGGCTGAGTGTGGTTAGAAGGGACTGGAGTAGACATAGCTCAACAATGAACAGGAATGTCAACTGGATGAGGCATGTGTTGAGGTGGGGTCAATTATACTTACGACGAATTGGTTGGGGGGTGGGGGACGTGCTCTGGTTGGTCACGAGTTGTTGGGGGTGATTGGGCGCAATGTTGATGTTCGTGGAGTGAACGTGGCGATTCGGTTTTGCACGTCCGCTGGTTGGAAAAACGCGACCCGAAATGTCGGTATACGTGCGTACGGAAAAGCTCGAACTTTTTTTTTTTTAAATTTTTTTTTGCCCTGCCCGGATTTACGTATCGCGTATTTGTCCCCGTTTCACGTTTTCCTGTTTATACGTGAACGCATATACGTGAAACGTTAAATTTCAAAAGCGTATAGTGCAACATAGATGGTAGGGTGCTGCTGCAAAGATATGTACCATGCATGGTATGGTGCTGCTGCAAAGATATGTGCCATGCATGGTATGGTGCTGCTGCAAATATATGTGCCATGCATGGTATGGTGCTGCTGCAAATATATGTGCCATGCATGGTATGGTGCTGCTGCAAAGATATGTGCCATGCATCGTATGGTGCTGCTGGGAGTATGTGCCATGCATGGTATGGTGCTGCTGGGAGTATGTGCCATGCATGGTATGGTGCTGCTGGGAGTATGTGCCATGCATCGTATGGTGCTGCTGGGAGTATGTGCCATGCATGGTATGGTGCTGCTGGGAGTATGTGCCATGCATGGTATGGTGCTGCTGGGAGTATGTGCCATGCATGGTATGGTGCTGCTGGGAGTATGTGCCATGCATGGTATGGTGCTGCTGGGAGTATGTGCCATGCATCGTATGGTGCTGCTGGGAGTATGTGCCATGCATGGTATGGTGCTGCTGGGAGTATGTGCCATGCATGGTATGGTGCTGCTGGGAGTATGTGCCATGCATGGTATGGTGCTGCTGGGAGTATGTGCCATGCATGGTATGGTGCTGCTGGGAGTATTTGCCATGCATGGTATGCTCAGGCATGCAAGGTGTTGTGCTTTCCTCCTTTGAACTGCCTGTGCATAACCCTCGCCTCCCTACGCACCTGAGTCTCATCCTCCCGCCACCACCCACCACTCATCACTCACTCCCTCACCTCACCCTGTCGCCTCTCCCCTCCTGCCCGCACCTGACGGTCTGCTCGCACACCACCCACCGCTCATCATTCACTCACTCACCTCATCCGTGCCTGCTCCTGCCCCTCACTCTGCTCCCCGTGCTGCTTCTCCCCACTCTCTACTCCACATGCCATTCCTGCCCCCAATCCCCTGCCCCATCCACCAGGCGCGGCTCTGCCCACACCTGACAGTCTGCTCGCACACCACCCACCACCCCGCCATCTTTTGAGACGTCTCAAAGAGTCCTGCCCCTTACTTTGCTTTTGAGGCGCCTCAAAAGTCACCCCACCGTCTTTTGAGACATCTCAAAAGTGCTGCCCCTTACTTTGCTCCCCGTGCCGTTCCTCCCCCAAACCCCCTCCCCATCCACCAGGCGCGCCTCTGCCCGCACCTGACAGTCTGCTCGCATGCCACCCACCACCCCACCATCTCTACCTGGGCTCTCTCCTTCCAGGTGACTTTTGAGTCGACTCAAAAGTCCCATGCTCCCCACCCCCCCCTCCACTCCCCTGCCCCATCCCCGCCCACCAGGCACGCCTCTGCCCACACCTGACAGTCTGCTCGCATGCCACCCACCACCCCACCATTTTTTAAAACAACTCAAAAGGCCTGCCCCTTACTTTGCTCCCCATGCCGTTCCTCACCCAACCCCCCTCCCCGTCCACCAGGTGCGCCTCTGCCCACACCTCACTGTCTGCTCGCACTCCACCCACCACCCCACCATCGCTGCCTGGACTCTCTCCTTCCGCGCTCCTTCCTCCTGCACCGCTCTGCACCGCACTCGCGAGGCACATGGTGGCCGGCAGGGTGAGGCGGAGAGAGGGGTGGGCGGGGCACGGGGGGAGGGGAGTGCACACGGGCAGGGAGGAGGCGAGGAGGACGAGGGGACAGCGGGAGGAAATGGAGAGGCGATGAGGTTGGGAGAGAGGGAGGGCAAGGTAGAGGTAGACGCAGGTGTGGAGGAGGGTGGGGGCTGTGATGTGGGAGGCGGCAGGCAGGGCGCAATGGGAGGTGCGGCAGCAGAGGAACCAGCAGCGGCAGCAACAGCAGCAGCTGCGGGGGCCACTGAGGGTGATGGGGAGTTGCTGCAGGGGGGAGGGAGGGGCGAGGGCACGGAGGGGAATGGGGGAGCAAGGAGTGGGGCCAGGGGCGAGGGGGAGAGCGAGTGGGAGTGGGAGTGGGAGGTGGCGGTGCAGCTGAGAGACGTGGAGCTCGCTGTACTGCCCACCGTGGAGGCAGCACGCTCACATGCTGCTGCTGCTGCTGATGCTGATGCTGATGCTGTAGGTGCTGCTGCTCACTCACACACCGCCCTCCCTCTCCACCACACACACCCACGCGCACGCCCACTCTCGCTCCCCACCGTGCTGCCCTCCCTGCCTGATCTCTCCGCACTGCTGCTCCAACGCGTCACCTCCTCCTGCCTCTCCGCCCTCCTCACCCACGCCCACTCCCTCTCCCTCCCCGCCTCCGCCTCCCCGTCCTCCCTCTCCTTCACCACCGTGTCGCACCGCTCTGGACCGCATCAACGCAGCGGTACCACCAGTGGGAGGAGCAGCAGCAGGGGTGGGTGCAGCACCGGCGCGGACGAGCAGGAGTGCTGCTTGGTGGCATGCCCGGATGCGGCTGCTGGTTGTGTGTGCTGGTGGATGGCTCCTAGGGAGCGTGCACTGGCAGCGCTGCACGCCCGTGCCAGGGCAGGCGGGACGGCAGGCGGGGCACAAGGCGGCGAGCGAGTGGGGTGTGTGGGGAGGAGCAAGGGTGCTGCGAGTCGCATGGGGGAAGAGGAGGGAGATGAGGGGGAGGAGGGGGATGTGGTGCTGCTGGGAGTGTTGGGAGTGGATGAGCTTAAAGATGTGATCACCAGAGCAGCCCTCTGCTAGCTTGCTTGCAGCCTGCCTCTGATGTGGTTGTACATCTCAACTGCTTCACATGGCCTTGCATGCTGAATGCTTTCATGCACATTCCTGCATTTCTTCCACCCCACCGCACCTCACGGTCTCGTACTCCCGGTCTCAGAAACAGACTACAGCGGAATGAGTAGCATTGATTGGGTTGGGGTACATATGCCTAACCCTAACTGTTTGTACCCCATATAGCATGACCCACAATAGGCTATAACATTTGACACACCCCCATAGCCTAAGTGGGGAATGCCAAGCAACAAGAAACGCAACCTAAGGTCACAAGACCAGTCACAAACAAAAGACAAAACAAGCTCAGGGTGGATCACAACGTCACCACACAGTCTGAGCGCAAACAGCGGCCACAAGGCCAGTTCAAGAGTGTATATGCAATTATATGCAAAACAAGCAAGGACAAAAGACAAGCACTCACTACTGAAGTCTACTCGACCCAGTCTCAACGAGGCCCAACTGCAGACAGAACCGGCGGTGGTCACAAGGCTGAAGAGCCTTGGTGAAGATGTCTGCAGTGTTGGCCTCGGAGGCCACGAAGTCCAGACGAGCCTGCCCGCGTCTCTGCAACTCTCGAAGGAGGAAGTACCTGACGTCGATGTGCTTCACTCTGCTCTCCAGTCGAGGCTCACGACACAGGAGAATCATCGCCCTGTTGTCAGCAAACAGGGTCGGTGCAGAGCTCGGCCGCTCACCAAGGTCAGTGAGCAGAAAGGTCAACCAGCGTAGCTCCTGAGCAGCAAGGGCCCCAGCGTAGATCTCGGCCTCTGCGGTAGAAGTCGCAACCGAGGAGGACCGAGTAGACCTCCACGAAACAGCTCCAGAACCCAGGCTGAAACAGTAACCCTGCGTAGACCTCTGAGTCTCAACGTCGTCGGCGTAGGAGGAGTCGCAGTGACCGGTGAGTACAACTGGCTGTGTCCCTCCAAGTACAAGCCCCATGCCTGATGTCGCGCCAAGGTACTTCGCCACCCTCTTAGCCGCCGCCCAGTGAACAGGACGGTGTCTCCCAGTCGCAACAAAGCGAGACAGGATGCTAAGAGGGAAGGCGAGGTCCGGGCGAGTGCACGTCATCAGGTACATGAGGCAGCCCACCAGCTCTGCGTAGGGACCACTGGGCTCGAACGGCTCGTCAGGAAAAGGCCCAGTGAGTCTGTGGTCTACAGCAAGAGGAGTGGGGGCAGGAGAAGAGTCCTGAAGCCCGAACCGCTGAAGGACCTGCTGCACCATGTGTGACTGAGTCAGAGTGATGGTGCGAGCGGCTCTGTCCCTGGAGATCTGCAGGCCAAGGTAGCGGCGCAGTTCCCCAAGGTCAGTGCAGGTGTGTCTCTTCTGCAGTTCGGACTTCACCTCCGCCAGTGCAGCTGTGTCGGCTGTGGCAAAAACCAAGTCGTCAACGTAGACCAGAACGAAGAAAGGTGTGCGCCCACGACGAACAAACAGCGACGGGTCGGCGGAAGACGGCTCAAACCCGAGGTCGGAGAGAGTAGAGCGGAGAGTGTCGTGCCACTCACGGGGTGCCTGGCGGAGACCGTAGACCGGTCGTCTGAGGCTCCACTGGGTCCCAGGCGGGAAAGTGCCAGTGAAGCCCGGAGGACGACGCAGCCAGATCTCCTCGTGTAGGCGGCCCTGGAGGAAGGCAGTGGAGAAGTCAAGAGAGTGAAGCTCGTAGTCTCTCTGCGCTGCTACGTGTAGTAACACCCGAAGAGTGGTCATCTTCGGGGTGGGCGCGAAGGTCTGAAAGAAGTCAACTCCCTCACGCTGACTGAACCCTCTAGCCACGTAGCGTGCCTTGAAGACTGGGGGAGATCCCGGCGGCCGCTTCACCTTGAAGATCCACATGCCGTCAACGATGTTCGCCCCTGGGGGGGGAACCTCGTCAACGTAAGTGCCTGTGGACCTGTAGGAGGCCATCTCTGCGTCCATGGCAGCTCTCCACTGAGAGGCCCAAG